GGAAGCTGACCAGGGGTGGGCTTGTTCCGGGTCAACATGCAGTCCTGTGAGCAACAGACACAGGGTAGATGTGCTCACCATGTGGGGCGAAGGCAGGCAGCCAAAGCAGCAGCTTTCTTCCCTCAGACTCCTCGTGGTAGGTGGTACCCAACACGGGGGGAGGGGGTCTTTTTCCATCAGTTAATCCTTCCGGAAAACACCCTTACAGACCTGCTCATGTCTCTTATGAATAAGTTGGAAAATAAGATGAGTTTGAACACATCAGGGTTAAACTTTCAAAGAACCACTGAATCATTAGAAGCTGATTTCAGATCCAGCCAAACTGAAAAGGGAAACAAACCACACACGTATACGAACTCAAAAGATTTACAGCACATGCAAAGAAACAAAATCCCATCAATACAGCGGGGTTTGCTTTCAAGGGACTTCAGATTTTAAACTGCAGTCCAGACTACAACACAACGTGGCATTGAAAGGGAGGCATGGCAGAGGTTAAGAGCATTTTGGGGTTCAGTCCACAGAACCCACTTTAGGAAGTTCACAATGACTTGCAACCCCAGCTCTGGGGTATCCAAAGCCCTTTCTGGCCTCTGTGGACACCCACATGCATGTGCACATGCACACACGTGAACACATATAGGCAGGTGACTTCCACTTTGACTATAGCTCCTCCAACATCCACAGCCCCGGTTCCAGCTACTGCTGCACGGAACTTCAGCCAGGAGAAGGAAGAACAGTGTACTTCCGGTGTGAATCCTAGCGCAGGTGTTGCTTCCACTTACCTGGAGCCCAAACCCACGGCGACACACTCAGTTAACTGCAGAGGAAACTGGAACCTTTACTCCCGACCTGGGTGTCTGTCTCCAGGTAAAAACCTGAAGCATAAATCCTGGCAAATGGGTCTACGGCAGCACCAGGTGACAGGAAGACAGAGGCAGGAAAGCTTCCAGAGATAAGCAGCCACAGAAGAGACCAGAATGTGGAGGAAAGGAAGCAGTGTGGACGGAATCCTGCTGGGCATTTTCCCAAGCAGAGAATAACACATCTATAGCAAAATGAAACACTGCACAGGTAATAATAAAAAAGTAAATACAGAGAAATTCACAGAGGTTATAGAAAGTGAAGCAAGGACCACTTTAAAACAAGACCACTTACAAAAGAACTACAACGGCCTGAGAACGGCCTTTGTAGATGAATGCGAGTAGAAAAAAGTGAGCAGACACACTGCACCGCTGACCTGGAATCCTGCACAGCCAAACTGCCTCCCAGCACCGAGGACGGCATTGTGGATACAGCTTCATGTTTATCGCCATGTGCCTTTTTTCAAGGCAATTCTAAAAGCAAAATAAACTAAACAAAGCCCAGTAAGTAAAGGGATTCTAGCAGCGGGAGTCTGAGAAACAGTCATAGACATCATATGATCACCTGGAACAAAGATGCTAAAATGCAGGAAATTCAAAGTGCCCTGGTGTGTGTGAAACATTGATTTAGAACAAACTAAAACAACAGGAGTGACCAGTGTGGTGGTGTCAGGGTTAAAGTTTTAAAGGACCAGTGTATCATTAAGAAACAAATTTAGGGGCTGGACAGATGGCTTAGCTGTTAAGAGTGGGTACTCTTGCAGAGATCAGAGTTCAGTTCCTAGCACCCACACTGGGAGACTCAACTGCCTGTATCCATCTTTAGCAGGTCTAACACCCTCTCTGGCCTCCATGGGCAACTGTATTTATGTGCACATACCCACACATAGACACACATGCAAAATTACAATTTAAAAAAAATTAATATTTTACTTATTTTATTTTGTATGTATTGAGTGTATTGCCTGCAAGTATGTTAAGTGCACCCACATCACTTGGGGGGGCTGAGGCAGAAGGATCCTCAGCCTGGGCTGCATAGTGAGTTCCAGGCCAGCCTGGGCTACAGAGTAAAACCTGAAACAATAATAAAATACCCAATTCGGATATTGACTAGCTTTATATAAAATAAATGCTGCTGAAGATGGGGGAGGGAAGGGGGGAAGGTGTGTGTGTGTGTGTGTGTGTGTGTGTGTGTGTGTGCAGGGAGGGATGGAAAATGTAAACCCTGATGCTGGAAGTGTAAACGAGTCATCAGTGTGAGAACTGGAAGAACGTGAAGAGCTGCAGTAGCTGTGTCACTCCCGCTCACACCCAAAGGACTCAGAGTCAGACCACAGAGACACCTTCGAAACTGCTTGTTACAGCGCTGTTCACAGGAGCCAGTTATGCAATTGCCTAGTGCCTGTGCAGGATGAGGGGACAGAGAAAATGCAGTAGATAACAGCAGAATATTATTCATCCATAAAGAACACTGTGTCCTTCACAGGAAAGTGGATGGAAGTGGAGATCAGCCTGTTAAATGAAGTACGTCGCTGCGTTCAGAGAGGAAATACTCCAGATTCTCTCATGTGTGGACTCCAGGAAAAAGGCATGAAATAATAACAGCATGCACATGTTCCAATGTGCAAATCCTATTTTATATAATCAATATGCAATAGTAAATACAGGAGAGATACTGACCAGTTTTAGGTATTTCGAACTTAATATAATAAAAGAATTTCAAGTACCAGCATGGTAGGCATGGAATATTCCAGTCCAGGGACAAGAGGAAAACCAAGAAACAAATGTTTAGTCAATCAAGACAGTGGCTGGAGAGATGGCTCAGCAGCCAAGAGCACTGTCTGCTCTTGCAGAGGACCCAGGTTCAATGCCTAGCACCCACATGTAGCTCACAGCATTATCCGGAACTCCAGTTCCAGGGGCTCCGACACCCTCTTCTGGTCTCTGCAGACATTGTACGACATGGTTGCAATAACATACATGCAGGCAAAACACTCATACACATAAAGTAAAAATAAATTTAAAAAAATTTTTTAAGCCAGATGTGGTGGCCCACACCTTTAATTCCAGCACCCAGGAGGCAGAGGCAGGCGGATCTCTGTGAGTTCAAGACCAGCCTGGTCTACATAGTGAGTTCCTGGCCAGCTGGGGCTACAGGGAGACCCTGTCTCAAAAAGACCAAAAAAAAATTTTTTTTAAAGACTGTGCACACAACAATTTTATCATGGAAACTAGACTATAAGATTAACAAATGGAATGGATTTTAAAGTGCGAAGTCTGTGTCCATCCTTTTTGCCTTATCTTAAATCAGTGACTCATACCTATAGCTGTAAGAAAGTTCAGTTCAAATTGCTTTCTAAAACTAAAGCTAATATTACACTTGCAATGGGAGAACCCATCACTGAGGAAGTCTGGAAGGGAGGCTCATGTGCCCCACAGAGGAAGTACCTTTTTAACTCCTATAGACAGTCTAGGGGACTAGTACTAAAAAAGAAATCTGACCACAAGGAATAAGAATTTGATACTGGGGCTGGAAAGATGGCTCAGCAGTTAGTGTACCAGCTGCTCTTGAAGAGGACTGGATTCGGTTCCAGCATCCACATGGCAGCTCACAACTGTCAGTAATTCCAGTCCCAGGAGATGAAACACCTTCTTCTGGCCTCTGTGGAACATTGCATGACACAAGTGTGTTTACATACATGAAGGTAAAGCACTCATACACATAAAAAAAATTTTAAGAATGTAATATCACTCACTCTGGATAATCTCAGAAAGTTCTTAGTTTGCACTCAGATTCTAACACAATGAAAGGTCTTGGTTGTTAAGGTTCAGATAGCCCCACCCCCTCACCAACAGGGTCTCAAGGACTTCTCATGCTCCTGAGAAAAGGGAACTGAGCTGATAATCACCTTGGTCTTTGAAGTCAAGAGAAACAGACTTTTCTCCACTGTTTGGCCAACACAGCAGGCTTCCCCTTTGATCTCTAAAGAGGACAGGTTTTAACAGTCCCACTCTCCCAGCCAAACTTTAAAAAGTCTTCCTGCCTTCTGCAGGAAGCAGAAGCCTCCCACTTAAAAGACCCCAGCTCAATGACATTTTCCCTGCCTGGAAGGGGATCTGCCCCATGTGTTTCTTTGCTAATAAACTTTCTCCTGATCAACCTCATACGGCTACTTTTTATCTATCATTAGTTGTATATCTTTTTGGTCTATTTTCATTTCTATAATTAGAAGTTACCTTGTAAATTATCAGTATTGAAAAAAAACAAAAAACATCTCTTGCTATCAATTAACCTGACCATTGATTACTACAGTTATTCACCCATAATGAAAATAATTCAATCTTAGGTTTGATTTTGGGTAACTAGCTACCAGAGGACCATTAAAGTAGACAAATTTGGGTTCCTAGCCCCAAAATAAACACTCCAGTATCTGCATAAATCAACCACCAAGGGAGAAACAAGAAGGTTCAAAAGTTTTCAACGCCTATTAGAAGCATCAAGCTGTGACTATTAACACAGCTAACTACAGAACAGCCCGAGTCCCACTCAGTAGGGCCTTCTGCTTCTCCTACCATCCAAACACCCAAATGGAACAATTTATACACTTACTGCAGGTTCAAAACGTTATGTGTACTTAAGTCAGCACTTTGAAAGAAGACACTGCGACTCTCAGTTTCAGAAAGTAGTCATTTATAGAAACAAGGAGCAAACCTTTCTGAGTAACACAACTCCAATGCATGTTGAGGCTGCTGAACATCTGGCAAAGGAAGGCCAAGTGGGGGCTTGAACTCCAACCAGACCGTCAGCTTTTCAAACTAACATTCCAACACCATGTAACGCTGGTAAAACGAAACTTTTCATTACTGACAGGAAGGAGTGGTGGGAAACAAAAAAAAAAAATCTTAAAAAGTAAATCAAACTGACAGAAACAGGGACCTTGCTGGCAATTCTTCGTCAGCTTTTCAAACTAACATTCCAACACCATGTAACGCTGGTAAAACAAAACTTTTCATTACTGACAGGAACGAGTGGTGGGAAACAAAAAAAAATATCTTAAAAAGTAAATCAAACTGACAGAAACAGGGACCTTGCTGGCAATTCTAAAGCTTTTTCCTTAAAAAGTGCATGTATTTTCAAACGTTTCTGGAAAGTAGCCTTTTACAAAACAAGCTGAAAGTTCCATGGTTTTAAGAACACTTCCAGGGAGCAGGATGTAGCTGGGTGGTGGAGCACTTGGCTAGCACTGAGCTAGTTACAACATCTAGAAAGATCTAAGGCATGACACCTCAAGATCTTTGCATAGTCTACTTGTACAATAAACTGCTTAAAATTGGTACCTAATGACATTTCCGACACATTTAGTACAGGACATCAGTAAGAACAGGACACTTTGTAAACTACTTTTCAAGTCTTTAGTAGCACGAGAGGCAACTGAGGCTCGATGAGAGAGCCAAGCTAGTCATCTTGTTGATCACCGGGTAGCGTGAGAAGCAGGTCCGTCTGTCCAGATGCTCAGCTCGGGGGTCCCCAAGTCTCTATCCCGAGCTTTCCAGGAGTACAGAATAGTGTGAACCTGGAGTTGCAACCTCCCATTAACACTGTCGTGCACCACCGAGCAGGGCGAGTTGCAGGTCTGTCTGTCCAGGTGTTTGGGCCCAGGGCCCTCCATGTCTCCATCCCGTGCCTTTCAGGGGCACAGGGCAGTTGCATCCTCCCACACGCACTATCATGCACCCCCGGGCAGGGCCAGCAGCAGGTCTGTCCAGATGCTCAGCCCGGGGACCTCGAAATCGCCATCTTGCACCTTGCAGGCACGCAGGGCAGCAAGCACCTCGGCCTGCAGGGGTGGTGGGGTGCGACACAGGCTCTGGAACCTGCTGCACAGCTCCTCCCAGGACACGTCGTCGGCGCTGGCTCCCACCCAGACACCTTTCTGCAGGTCGTAGCGCAGCCGACCGGCCCAGACCGTGAGCAGGCGCAGGTAGGCCTGGCAGAGCGCGGGGTGGCGACTGGCCACGGAGGCCAGCAGCTCGGGGGACAGCCGGCGGCAGAAGGCGGTTGTAACCTCGGCGCTTCCCAGCAGCCACTGCAGCAGCTCCTGTGTCTCGTCAAGAGCCGCGGGGTCGGTGCCGTGGTCGGGCAGCGACTGGGCCTCGTGCGGGGGCTGCAGCAGCGCCTGCGCGGCAACACTCAGCACGTGCACCCGGGGGCCGCGCGCCCACAGCGTGCCCAGGAGCGCGCGCCCCGTCCCGGGCTCCGCGTGGCCCAGCTCGCGCAGACGCGCTCTGAGCAGCTCGGCGTGCGTGCGTAGCAGAGCGTCCCCCGCCTCCGGAGACAGCCGGTGCAGCAGGTGCAGCGCGCTCCCGCGGCGGACCAGGCGGGCCAGGCGCGTCTGCAGCGCGTCCCCGGGGTCGTGCGCGTCGGGGCCCGGGAAGAGCAGGCGCAGCAGGCCGCGGAGGGC